CCTTGTGGCCGTCAAGACAAATTAGCAGGGTAGAACAAAGTTATTTATTTTCTTTAGCTTATCTTATGACAAAGTACTTTATCTTGGACCTTTTTCAACCAGAGATCAAGAGGCAAACTGATTCCAGACAATTTATTGTTGAATTGCCTTGGCTTACTCAGGTTTTACAAAAAAAAAAAAAAAAAAAAAAAGTTCACATGACATCACCCATCTGGAATCCTCTTGTATTTTCCCTAAATACCACGGGATGCCTTACCAAAGAAAGTTCAACTTTTCTGAAAATGTATGTGCAGGGTAACAAGCCATGGGTGTAGATGGCTTTGGTGTCGCAATACTTCTGTGTTTTTAAGGGGCATGGCTTTGGTACAGGCAGTTATATATTATGGCCTATCACACATTTCATTTCATATAAGGAACAGCTACTGGAATTGGGTATGTCTAGTTTAACGAAGAGAAGGACGAGGGGGGGACATGATAGCAGTGTTCCAATATCTCAGGGGCTGCCACAAAGAAGAGGGAGTCAGGCTATTCTCCAAAGCGCCTGAAGGCAGGACAAGAAGCAACGTGGAACTAAGGAGAAACTTCCTGACAGTTAGAACAATTAACCAGTGGAACAACCTGCCTCCAGAAGCGGTGAATGCTCCAACACTGGAAGTTTTTAAGAAGAGACTGGACAGCCATTTGTCTGAAATGGTATAGAGTTTCCTGCCTGAGCAGGGGGTTGGATTAGATGACCTCCAAGGTCCCTTCCAACTTTATTATTATTATTATCATTTCATTATTTTTTTAATGACATTCAGTTTTATAACTTAAGTAATATTAAAAGTAGTATTAAAAGCAGTAGTATCAAAAAGTTATTTGGTTATTCTTTAAGAAATCAAAATAGTGAAATGTCACTTACGTAAGAGCTCATCCTAGTGCTAATGAAAGTTTATGAAAAGTATTATAATATTAACGAACTGATATTTCTAGTGAAATATATATATATCCACTTCAAAACAGAAAAGGGGAAAAGGTCTAGTTCTAGTCACTGCTATTTTAGTGAAGTGGTTAATGCTGAAAGAAGAGCAAGAGTGTTTTAATGGCATGTAATGGGAAAACTTAACTTGAAGGTGTGAATCACTTGCAACCAACCCGAGGTGGGAGGGAAGGATTTCAAGACCACAGGGTTTCGTTACCCAGAACTGGACGGCGAAAATATTGGCAGGTATTTTATTCAATTTTGCATTGCAGCTGCTGCTGGCTGAATAGATTGCTTTGTTTGATCAGGGACTTCCCAGTTCTCTTCTAGACAACTGGCAAATAACACACAGCTCTCCTCCTGAGCTGAAAGAATGTCAAAGAGCAACCTGTAAAAAAAAAATAAAAAAAAAAATCCCACCTCCCGGCCCAACGTTTATGAATGCTGAACTTGAGGCAGATGGTGAGTGAAGGCAGCTTTTTAGCTACATTTCCTTGGTGCTGCCTCTGCGTGGGCCTAAATGGCAGGAACGACAGGTGCTAAGCTGAAGAATGGCTGGACTCTTTGCTGCAGGAACCAAAAACATGAAATGACATAGACCCGATATGGCAGTGGTTCTCAACCTTTTTAATGCCGCGACCCCAACCGGTCGTAAGTCGAGGACTAAACCGGTTGTAAGTCGAGGACTAAACCGGTCGTAAGCCGAGGACTAAATCGGTCATAAGTCAAGGACTTTCCCTGCCCAGGAGCGCCGCGTATACGTGGTTCTGCCCCCTGCGCCAGCCGAGGCGTAGCTGGCAAGCGGCAGAGACAGAGCAGGCCGATCACCAGCTGGCCCAGCCTAAGGGAGGTAAGGCACCTGCCGGAAAAGGGGGAAAAATGGCGGACAAAAAAATGGTGGACAAAAAAAATGGTGGACAGCCTTGCTTGGTGACCCCCATGAAATGGTCGATCGACCCCAAATGGGATCCTGACCCACAGGTTGAGAACCACTGTGATACGGCCTTTTGTCACTTGGCTAAAAAGTTAGATAACTCTTCTGTTCAGGGCAGATAAAGGTCCGTTCTGTTAAAAGTCAGAATCAAGTTGGCAGTCTTTTATTCTTATATATATCAGCATGGCTTTCATACCTACATAGTAGCAGCTCCTAGCTAATTTTAAAAGAATGTAGAGCAATCAGATGAAGATAAGACACCAGGGACTAAGTGCTGCTGTGCGCACTGATCAGCTTCTGTGTTTGAGCAAGAGGGAGGTGGACTGACTTTTTCATGCTTACAATCAGAAAGGGGAGAACGTAATTGAGTTGAAAACCATAATTCTTCCTCCAAAGGCCAAGGTCTTAACGTCTCTGCAAATGCACGCCTCTGTTTCCAACAGTACTTGAAGAAATTAAAGACCTCAAAGAGTATTTAAAATTGTGGGTCTACAGTAGCCCTTAATTTGCAACCGTTTGTTTAGTGACCATTCAAAAGTTTAAAAATGGCATTGGAAAAAAGTCCCATCCCTGTTTCTTTTTCTAATGAGTCTTATTGGTCAACAGTAATAACTCTATTTAAAAGTTTTTCATAATTTGCTGAATTGTGCTGCAGGTGGAATCTTGGCTCCTTGGCTTAAATCAGGGGTCTTCAAACTTGCCCCCTTTATGACTTGTGGACTTCAACTCCCAGAATTCCTCAGCCAGGCATGCCTGGCTGAGGAATTCTGGCAGTTGAAGTCCACAAGTTATAAAAGGGCCACGTTTGAAGACCCCTGCCTTAAATGGTAGTCTGTAT